GGGCGCGGGGGGAACCCCCCCCCCCCCCCCCCCCGGCATCGCTGGGGTACCATGGGCCCAGGAACACTGAGGGGCTACTTAGCCCCTGGCCCCCCTGGTGGGGAGATGAGCAGTGCTCCGTGGCCTCCCGTGTGCCCGCAGCGGGGGGCTCGCGGCCAAATGCCCTGTGTAGCGTGGTGGCTGCTGTCGTGCCCCTGCCCTCGGCTCTGGAGACAGCGGCCAAGGACCTGGTCATGTTTTCCCCACAGGAGCAGGGGTGGGATGATGCGCTGTACTCCATCAGTCAGCAGAAGTGCTTGTGGAGGCAGGGAGGGACCTTAAACTGTTTTCTGCTTCTTTGCGGCCTCTTCCCACCCCAGGAGAAACATCGAAGTCTGTGTCAAGGGTTGTGCCCTGAAGAGTCCACAGTTAGGGGCCTGTACATATCTGAGGTTTTAAAAAACTGTAATTCTACATTAGTTAGGTTTTTCTAATCAGCTGTAAATGTCACTTCTTCGTGTTTAACATCTCCATCTCTGTAATGCCTGAGTGCCTTGGACATACATTGATGAATTCCTATTTTCTCTCCTGTCTGCATATAAACTGGGAGTTGTGGTGGACACCCTTGTGGAGAATTTCACTCCTCACCTCGTGCCTGGCAAATAGAGTGCCCTTCCCTCTCTGATTGCCCTTCCCTTACACCAGAGTCTCCTTCCCACAGGCACAGCAAATACTTGCGGAGCTGGGAAGAAAATTGTTTTGTTCAATTAGTAAGTTGACTGCAAAACAATGTATCCTAAACATATGGTGGTCGGTTAAAGTTACAGTACACCCTGACCATTTACCACCAAGGAAGTAACTAAAAGAAAACTCTCCATTTGTTCTTTTTATTCCCTCCTTTTTTTCCCCTTTCCTTCCTCTGCCAAATCACAATCACTTTTCAGAAAAGCAGAAACCAGCAGAAAATGGTTGAGGAATCCAACCCTTTACTGTTAGTCAGGTCCCTTGGTTATTATTATTTAAAGGACATCTGTCATTAGCTGTTATGTCTGAGAAGAGAGTTAAGGAGTTTGACCTCTTGAATTGTGACCAGGGCTTAAAAAGTAAAGAATTTAGTTCTTCTCTATTCCTCCACTGCCTCTATTTTACGCACATGAGTCTAAGAGCTACAAGTCCTCTGCTGTCAAGGCTGCTAGCGTTTGGGTGTTGCCATTGTACTGGCATTGTGGCAGATGAAACAAATGGCCAGTCCATCTTGCTGCCACATTCATCTCCTGCCATCAGTCATCTGCTTTCCTTGTGTTTCCTTTTCCTCCAACCTGTTCCCATCCCAGGAGGGCCTGACAGTTTAGTTGTCATTCTCCGTAAAGGAAGAATAACAAAAGACCCCCAATACGCTGAAAGCAACAGATGTATTTAGCAGTGGTCAAATAGTAACTCTTGAGATCCCCCAGGAAGACAATGGACAAGCATTTTTCCCATTTTACTGGTGAGCATACTGTGACTATGACATTTAGTCCAAGATTTCTAACATCTTAATTTTGAAACTTCCAACCTGTGCAGACAAGAGACGCATCTTTGTGTGTGGTAACTGCGACTGAAGTTAGGGGATAAATTACAGAGGAACCAAAGCCTTGTGTTTAAGATGCTGAATCTCTGCACTCCCAACACTTTCATGTGAAACTGACATTTTCAGTTTCATGTCCCTGAAAATCAGCCCTATTTTGTTATTTCATTCTGCACAGACAATATAAATAAATATTGCTGAATACCTGTGAATACTATAGGTGTTAATAAGCTGTATAGTGAGTTAGTGACAAAACAATTATAGAAAGGGGTATCGATATTTAAGTTTGTTCTTGTTGGTGTGTTTTATTAAGTCAATCCTCTGTTCGCAAGAGCATATTTCTCTTCAAAATAAACAGAAAACAACATTTTGTTGTCGAGTTGCAAGTTAGAAAAAAAGACTTTTTCTTTCCTATAGTCCCAGTTCTATTAACCACCGTTTTAAGGAGCCTTGTGGTAATGTTTCTTTAGATTGCATATCACAAAAGAGTGGCTTAGAAAATAGGCATGCCTTAGAGAGGCAGGGTTATGGAGCCAAGTTTCATTACCTGCTGCTGCCCCAAAGAGAGCAGGTACATATTAGGTTCTACATTACATTCAGTAATCTTATTAAAATAGCTCTGGTTCTTCTCAGTGCAAACTCTTCAGTCCTCCTTTCTTAGAACTAGTCTTCAATCCTGGTTTTTTTCTAAAGGACTGGAAGACCGAGGAATTTTGCTGATTCAGTGAAGTCTTTCACTAGCCTTATTTGTATGTTTGAAGTACTAGCATTTCGTCTCAAAAAATTCCAACCCAGACAATTGGTACCATTAGCAGCAACTCAGCAACTTTGGTTCAAATCTATCTTTTGAAGGCTCTGAAATGCCTTCTCTTGCCCTTAATTTCTGTAAAATTTCAGATTTATTGATCTCTCTACACAAAGAGAGCTCTCTATACAGTTGTATACCTGTTTATGGATGGAGAATTATGACTACTAAAAAAAAAGATCTTGAGAAAACATGGATTTTGCTAGATCTATAATTAAGTCTACTTATTCTGGTGTCATTCTAAAGATTGCATTTTTTACAGATCAAATGCTGGAGTAAAGAGCCATTGTTTACCTGGATATAAAATTGATTTTCACTGTGCAGAATCTGCCGGGCAATGCTTGGAATTTGTGCAAATATTTAGCCTGGTGGTACTCTGATTCAGAAGGGGGTCAGACAGTCTGCTGGAATATTCAGCTGCTACATAATAGCAGTTCTTAAAATACTCCAGCTTAAAATGCCACCCGGAGAAGCCTTATTTAGTCTTTTCTCAGTTGTCTGTTGAGTCAGCCACTTGTGAAAGGGCAATAAACAGGAAGAAATTTGGGAATAAGGATGGCAGCCTTCAATAACTCTATCAGTTTTCATGAACTCTTTTCTTCAGTTCAGAAAAAATGAAAAATTATAAAATATATGAGGAAAGCATTTGAGGGTTTTGTAATATATTTACATTTCTGTCTTGAAGAATCTAGAAAAGGTTTCAAAAAGGAATGAAATCTAATGGGAATGTTAACAGAAATTACTGTTTGCATATGTTTCTGTATATTGTGCAGCATTTTGCAGGGAGCCTTACTGTTTCCTGTGTCTAAATTCTACTTCATGACCCTTAATTTTGTGCTGACCCAGATCTAGTAGTGTATGGAGCAGCCTAGGAACAGTTGCAATGGTATTGTTGGCACAGGCATTTTGATATCCATCAAAATGAAGGATACCATGGTTTCTCCCCACTTCTCAGGGTGTACCCTCCTGTCCACAGAGTGCCTCATCAGTTGGGTGGTCAGAACAGCTGGTACAGAATCTATGCAAACGTACAGCTCCAAAATACCTCCCTTGCGTTGCTACCCTAAAGATGCTTGTTAACTCCTCTTACTTCAGTATGATAGCTCTCGCGTTTATTTTCATTCTCTACTATCTTCAGCAGACTTTGGGAGTGTTAAAATAAACATTATTTGCCTAGTCATGTGGCCCTTCTCCATTTGGCAAACACCCGTCTGTTTCCTGTCTTTTTAATGATCTCATTGCTGTCCTTAGTATTTTACTTTCTCAGAGTGGTGAGAGTTAAGGCTTATGGCAGAGTTGCTTCTGCAAAGTCAGCAGGGGCGGCACACAGGATTGTTTTCTCATTACCTCAGGGTGGGAGAAATGGTTGGCCTTAAAGATGTGTGTGAATCCATGGTTTTCACAGCCAGCTCAGAAATACAACCCATGCCAGCTTGCATTCTGATTCCAAATTTCTTCAAGCATTGATGGGACTGCGGCAAAACACAGCTTTTCATTCTGTACTGAGCAGTCCTCATCATCTTTCTTGGACCTGGGGAAACTCAGTCCAAGCAGATGCTTAAGGGAAACCTGGGAAAATATGGCAAATACTTAAGAGAGAATGACACTGTGAGAGCCAACAGGAAGCAGGATGTCACAAATACAGGAGCTTAGACAGCTATATTGAACACGACAATGAGACATATCCATAAGGGTCACATGTGAGGTGATTTCCTTTATTTTAAAACAGTTCTTATTAAAGCCAATAGGCATTTTTGCTTAAAAGAAAACAATAGTGAAGGGTCAACCTCAGGATTCAGCCCATTGAATATTCTTTGCATAATGCCTAGCAACATCCAAAGCCAATTTCCTTAAATAACTGGGTGTCATTAGCACATGGAGGCTTTACCATCAGTCTTTCCTCTTATTTGATATAAACCATCATGAACTCATTTGGTATTAATGGAAACCCCATGGGTTCGCATGCTGTCATTTAGCACTAATTGATGTATCATTGTTTAAATTGTGTTACTCCCCATCCAATAGCTGCGGAGCCCTCAGAAAGTTCTCAGAGGGATCGATTTAT